ATGAGTTGAATGAGATAATAACTAATTTTTGCAAAGCAGAAAAATCTTCAGGTTATGTTTTTGACTTGTTCTCTGCCCAGAAGAGCTTTTTTTTTTTTGGTTTTTCTCCGGTACCGGGAACCGAACTCACAACCTTGCGCTTGCCAGGCAGGCGCTTTTGCCGCTGAGCTAAATCCCCAGCCCCCCAGTTGGAATCTTAAATACTGACTATGTATTAACAGTCTACCAACTCAAATAATTCAAAAATTTTGAGCCGGCTGTGATGGCACAGGCCTGTAATCCCAGCCTTTTGGAAAGCTGAGGCAGCACAAGTTAGAACCCGGACTGGGCAATTTAGCAAATTAGCAACAAAAATTTGAAAGAGGCTAGGGATGTACCACAGTATGAAAGCCCTGGGTTCAGTCCTCAGTAACACATACACACAGACAGACAGACACACACACACACACACTGTGTAATACTGCAAAGCTAGAAAGCAGCAGGAGAAAATCAATGAGGAATCAAAGAGGAATCAGTGACGAATAAGATAAGGCAGTTTAAATGACAAAGCTTTCTTTTGGTTTGGTTTAGGGTTTTGTTTGTGTTTTGTTTTGTTTTTGTTTTTGTGCGGGTGCTGGGGAGAGGGATGGAACCCCGCACCTCACACAGGCCAGGCGGTGCTGTTCCACTGAGCCCCAAACCCGAACTGCCCGACCTGCCTGTCTTGTCGATCACGCAGGCTGTATCAGCGGCGTTCATCCACATTCGGAACGCACAGCCGCTGTGATCCAGACTCCTAAAGCGCAATCCAGAGAGACTGAGCCCGAGACAGACCAGTGAGGAGTCAGATGCAGATGTGGGAAGCCCTCCTACAGGTATGTAGTGAGTGGCGGGGGGGCACAGAGGGCCCCAGGTGCTGTCCCTCTGAGGCACGACTGCCCCGGATCCCCCATCCCAGGCCATGGAGGGTGGCACCTTTGGTCATGATCAGCTTCCAGGCCGTATTATCACCAAAGGTGCGCAGCTGCTTGATCTCGTCCAGCAGCTCCTGGTCTTCCAGCTCCTCTTCAAGCTGCAGCTCCTGCCGCAGGCAGCTGTTCTTGGCGGACATCTTGGAGGCATACGTCATTTTCTCGTGTACTCGCATCTTCTTCTTCTGCTCCCGCTCCTGGGGACAGCGAACTGGGTCAAGTGGGACTCAGGCTCCTCCTCCTACCTAATACCCTGCGGGGGCCTGGCCTGGATGTCTGCATGGGCCCCTCTTGGGACAGGGCCCATGGGAAGGCACACACACACACACACACATGTACAAAGTACGCACACACAACACCTGTGGAGCTGGGTGCCGGCTGGAAGGCCCAGCTCTGCGATCCTTACCACCGGGCCCTGGGCTCAGAGCAGAGCTGGAAGGAAGGCTCAGAGGGAGGCCAATCAGCACAGGAGAACGGGGCGCCAGGTGGGGTCACCCGGTAAATTACGGGTACCCACCCAGATGTGCACCCAGAGTGACACAGGAGCACACGCCTACTGACAGATGACTTTTATCTGATACTCACATTTAACTGAGGGCCATGCATTTTTGACATGGTAGATACGACAAATATGCTCGAGGAACTTAGATTTGAGTTTCCAAAAAAACATGGAATCCCAAGTTTGATCTGCAGGTTCTGTTGTCAGTGTCAGACCACTGGAAAGTCACGGGTGGTCTGCTGTTTTCACCGATTTTCCCCACTCCCCTGCATGCCCGTCCTGCCCCTGTTGGGTGCCATCACAGCTCAGCACTCCCATGGGAAGAAGATCCCAGGACGGTGGAAGGGCACCACTGCCCACAGTGGATCTCTGGCCTAAATTCCCACACCCTGCTGCTGACTGGGAACTGCGGGTCTGCATGTGTCCTGTGGGCTCTTCACCCTCCCACCCTCAGCGCTGGCCCTTCCCTAAACTCCTTTGGGACTCTGCAGCAGCACTCGCCTTCCTCTTGGGACCTGCCAGGTGCCACAAACCATTCCACACCTATACTCCTGCAGGAGTTCAGCAAATGCAGCATCTAACCTGAGGCCACCAGGTGGCACAGCTATGCGTGATAGCAGAGTTGGGAAAATGTCACCTTTAGAATCCCAGTGGCAACAGGTCTGCCTTAATGAGGTCTAAGGTGGCCCTTGAAGGACAGGGGGAAGGTCAAAAGGGAGTGGCATTTCACCCAGAGGACAGTGAAAGAGATGGTGGCCAAAGCTGTAGATGCTTCAGCCCAAGGAGCGCATATGACCAAGGCCCAAGGACAACAGGGATGGAAATGGGTAACATAGCTGGGGGCAAGTCAGCAAGTTGACAGCCAGGCAGTGTTTCCAGGTAACCTTGAAGGAAAAGATGAACCATTGACTATCGTAGAGTAAGAGTAACCCGAGGAGCAGTGCTTTTCTGAGAGGGGAAGCATGGCACTGTTTATGTAACAGAAAGAAGCACCAGAGAAAGAGAAGCTTCACAGAGGCGCTGGACCCTGTCCTGGATACTCACTGCGAGGGCCTTGTTCCGCTCCTGATCTCTAAACAAGAAGATATCCACATCTCCAGACATATGGAAAGGATTAGCTGGACTGTCTGGATCTTTCTCACGTCCTAGGAGGGAGACACTGTTGGAGAAAGAAGCAGCCTACTCTTCCAGGCAGAGGTCTGTGCTTCTGGGTCCCTGAACCCTCCCAAACCAGCATGTGGCACACAGAATGAATAGCAAATGTGCTCTTGGATCCAGCTCTGCCTGAAGTCCACTCCTGGGTCTTCCAGCTCCATAGATTTACCTCCGTGGTTTAACCCAGTGTGAGCTGCTGTCCTGCACATCTGAAAGAGAGCTCATGAACATGACCCTTGTGCCTCTAGCATCTGCCCTGTCTTTTCCTTTCAAGTTTCAGGAAACCATCTCTCACAGAGGAGGGAAGCCAGAGCGTACTGTCCATAGTGGTGGAAGGATGCAACATACGTCTGCTGACTCTGAGCTGGGAGCCTTTTCTGAGCACTGTGGGACCCAGGTGAACGTGTTTGTTTTTCTAGGAGCCTGTATGAGCCTCCTGGAGTGAGGTGTGCTTTGTTCCTAATCTCCATGATTTTCTTTCCCACACTGAGTTTGATTCAGAGAGAAGGAGGGGAAAGGTATGGGGAGAGGAAGAGGGATGTTGATTCTAGAACAGATGCCCAAGGGCTTCTCTATGAGTGTCAGGAAGTGGGGAGGTCAGAGGAGGACCCGCCTCCCCCACCAGACATTTTGTAATCAGCCCTCCCCCAAGTAACAGTATAAATATATGTACAACTGTAGGACAGCCCTGGAAAAGAGGGGTGCTGCTGAGATAGCAGAAGTTGTTAGGGAGCTCTGAGTGAACATGTCAGCACCAGAAAGAATACAGACAAATGCAGAATGGGTACATCCCTTGGGAGAACAGACAGCATGGCTCATCAAATCAAAGGCACAGAGAATTAAAGGGTGGGGGAGGGACTCTGTTAGTTAAGAGAGACTGCAGCGGCTCGGTTCTCAGCTGAATCCTGACTAGAACAAACTTTCTTTAGGAAGACATTTTTAAGACTTTCTTTAAGTTGTAATGATGGGACCGTGCGCTTGTAAAGAAACATCCCCGTCGGTGACAGGTGCACGCTGCCGTATTTAGGAATGAAATGAAATGACATTTAAAGTAAAACAAAATTTATCTGAAAATATCTTAGCAAAGACAAAAAAGAAAAAAGAGGAAAAGGATAGATGAAGCAAAGGCAGCAAAATCACGTCAACTTCACAATGTGAGCACAGTTTCCTGGTTCTTGTTTTCACTCCTGGGCGTGCTTGAATTTTCATAATAAAAAAAAGAAAGCAGAGACGGTGGGGCGGAGGGAGACCATAGGAAATTCTCACAGCACAGACCCCAGCGGAAGGATCCGACTACAGACTAAGCTGTGCGCCCAGGACCACAGCAGGAAGGAGGGAGTCCCGGCAAGCCAAGGCGTGGAGCAAACTGCAAGAAGCAAGTTCCCCCGGCAAAGGCTTAGGAAGGAGGCCGTGGCAGCTAGCTGCCTTTCCTTCTCCCTCCAGATAGGTGATAACAATGTGCCTGACTCTGAAAGTCCTCCTTGTAGATACTCATGGTCACATGGCAAATGTAGCCCATTAGCCCGTGGGCAGAAATGGCTGAGTGGACCTTCGAGAAAGAGTTCTTTCCCTGGGAGGGCTGAGTTGGCAAGTGAGCGGTTTTGTCCTTTCCTTTCTCTCTTCCTGGAATCAAAGATGAACAGGCTGGGGTTACCGGAGACATTTTGTGACCATGGGGCAGCCTCGTAGTTGAAAGTCCTAAAGCCTTTTCAATAAAGCAGAAAGACTTAGGACCTACGCACCTGGATGACGGCATGGAAGTGCTGTTTGTGGAGGCCTGTGGACCCTGCGACCACCTTATTTTCCATTACTGGAGGAAAAATACATCCTATTTTATGTTCCGTAGCTCCATTCTCAACAGAAGAGAAGTATTTCCCTTTTCCCTCAGCACTAGAGACTAGGTCTGAGGGCATCTGCTGCAAGGGGAGGGGGTTACCTTCTACCAACTCAGACTTGAGCCACCCAGCTCGAGTGTTACCTTTGCGTGGTTTTGCAATCTTCTCCAGTTTTTCAGTGATCGAAGAAGAACTGTTCTTGGATTCCAGACTCTTCCCTGTGGAGACACAAAAGGGAGAGCTGTGGCAGTGACACACCTGGCGGGACAGCTGTGAACATATGCGAGGCAGGGGGGATCCTGGGTCGCAGCGTCAGTTCCTCACACTTGCTGAGCAGCTTGGAAAGTCACCTGGCCTCTTGGAGCCTCGGTTTCTCTGTCTGAGATGGTCAGACTGACTTTGCTGGGAAAATGTGAGAGCTGTGCAAGAGAAAGGCCATCACCCAAGGTGCTGCCCACATGCTGGCGTGGATTCACACACTGTTTGTCTCTTGGTGACGGGCACAAGTATTCATTACTTAGCACGGTGTTCTTAAGAACATCTTTGTTACAACCTGTGAGCAGATGTATTTTTTAGTGAAAAGGGGAGGAACACTTAAGCGTGTGTAGATTTTAAATGATGCCTGAGCTGGGCATGGTGGTGCACACCTGTAATCCCAGCACTCTGAAGGCCGAGGTGGGAGGATCGTTGTGAGTTCAAGGCCAGCCTGGGCTACAAAGTGAGCTCAAGGCCAGCCTGAACTGCAGAGCAAGACCCTGTCTCAAAATGACAAAAAAAAAAAAAAATGATGCCTGAGACCCTTTATCTATTAAAGGACACTGGCTCACTTGTCAGAGATGTTAAACATATTTTCCCTCCAGGAGATTTATCAATTACATTTTGGCTTTATCTGTGTTTTCCTTGCAGGAAATTATAATGTTTTGCTTAATGAAATGCTTTGGAGTTTTGCATCTTACTTAGAAAGGCATGGTGCATCCAAAAATTACATACCTTTTTAAAAAATCCCGTATTTTCTTCTAGTATTTTAACAACATATAATTTTTAAAATTAAAAAGTCCTTAAGCCAAGTAGGGTGGCACACACCTGTGATTTCATCTAGTCAGAAGACCTAGGCAGAAGGGCCTCAAGTTAGAGGTCAACCTGGGCAACTTGAAACCCTGTCTCAAAATAAAAATGGGGCTGGAGATATATCTCAGTGCTCCCTAGCCTTAATCTTCAGTACTGTAAAATAAAATAAAGTCTTTAAAATAAAAGACTACTTTTAGAAACAAGGTAGAAGAATAAAGATAGGTAGGCAATAAGGAAACTAGAGTTCTAAGCCATGATCAAAGTCACCCAAGGCTATCCCCGTCTCTTGGCCATACCCTACTCCCTAGGCCTTTCCCAAATTCAAGAATCAGTTTATCCCCTTCTCGTATACTAATTTATCACCTGGCCAGAAAACTTGCAAAGTCAGATTGGGTGGCATCCTAATTCCCTCCAGACTGAAGAATGAACTAAGACAAAGGCTGGAGGGTTGTAACGGAAAGGCTGGATCGGCGTGTGCCCAAAGGCACCTAAAAGCAGGATGAAGCTGGGCATCCCTGCCTTCAATTTATCTCCCTTGTTACCTTCAAGCTTTGGGTCAGATTTCTGCTTGGCTCTGCACAGAGGCGTTAATGATTTAAGAAGTGTCTGTATTATATGGTTTATTAGCTTTAAGTGTATCTAGACTATCTCATTTCCCCTTTACGACTGAGAAAACCAAGAGCAGAGTAACTGGAATAATTTTCAGGATTCACAGGGACTTGCAATTGTCAGGTTTACAATGGACGATATCCAGTTCCAGACCCCCAAAGCAGTGACTAAAAATATCCAGCCACTCCTAAACTTACAGTCACTTTGGATTGCAGGAAAACCAGAGCCTCGCAGACCTCCTCGTGACGAAGTCACCTTCCCAAAGTGGGAAGCCGTTACCCCATCCTGGGAACTGAGGATGCCTCCAGGCAAAACCAGCCCTCTCCCGGGGAGCACATTGTCCTTCAGGCCACAAGGATTCCTCCAGAGCCACAAAACCAGAGCTGAGAAAATGATCAACTGGACCCTGGCCCACCCCAGCTTGTCTATAAAGGCAGGGGTCCTTTTGTAAGTGAACTAGTCCGCACCCTTCAGCAGAGGGAGCCCCCGCCAGCGGCTCAGGCTGCAGTCTTTTCTCTGTTCTCCCTTACTTTCTAACTCTGCCTAGTACATCTGATGTCCTGAAACGCTTTTCTGTGATGACAGTTGACAAACCAACTCTTCAGGGTGGGGAGAAATCCCCATCACCTCTTAGGGGTACACAGAATAATTCAGAGCAGAGAAAGGCAGATCTGGGTATGAGATAGCCACACACACACACACACACACACACACACATACATGCGTGTGCACACACACACACACACACAAATGATAAACACGTCCTGGGCAGAGGGAGGTGCAGGGTGAGAGCAGAACACCTCAATGTATCGTTAGGGAGCAGTCTCCACAATGCATGAGCTCATGGAAGAAACCAAGAAACAGAGTATTCTTACTATGTGGCCATTTGTGTGGGGACAGGACAGACTCCATCCATATATATTTGCTTGAATGTGCACAAAGCGTGTTTGGAAGGGGAACACTGGCCGCCTCTAAGCTGTCGAGGGACAGGACAGGGCTAAGCTTTTCCAGAAGGCTGAGGTGAGGCACTTTGAATCTACTGTGAACCATGGCATATTTTCTTCAGTAAAAAAAAGTAAATTCAAATTTAAAATCGGAAGGGAATTAAACACCTGTAGATGGTATTGTCCATTGAGTCCTTCTCACAGCCGCTCTTGTGCTACCCAATGTGAGCATCCAGGGCACACACGTTGTCCCATTAGAGAAGGGACATTCACCCAGGACCTGGGACTGGCTGACCACCTCCTCGGGGGCTCAGCCTGGTACCCACAGCGGGCATAAAGCCGAAAGAAGCTCATGTCCACTGTGGCACCTTCCTTGTGGCCTGTTATGAGCTGACCTGTGCCACCCCCTAAAGTGTCACTGAAGTCCTAACTCCCAGCCCCTCAGAACACGGGCTCATTTGGAAATAAGGTCATTGCATATGTAACTAGGTTAGTAGAAGTCCTGAAGTGGGACAGACCTCTACTCCCGTCTGACAGCTGTCCTTATAAAGGAAGACTTGCATGGACACCCCGAAGGCCAGTGTAGTGGTTGACTGATTATGTCAACTTGAGAAGTTTAGAAGCATAACTAAACTTGGCTCAGCAATTGGCCCAGCAATTCTACACCCTAGGGTGTAGAGGAGCCGCCCCAGGGTGGATCATCACCTAGATAATATAAAAGGGAAATGAAGAGGGACAGAGGAACTTCCATTCCTTTTGGAGGAGCTCCAGTCTTCACCTTCAGTTTGGACTAGGTCTCCTGGCTTCTAGTGCAGACTCTTTGGCTTCCACCTTGGATCCTTCAGCCTTCCGTCGCAGACTCATCGGCCTCCTGGTACGGACTTGCACGGAGCTCTGCAGTGAACTCCAGACCCTGGACTGCTTCCTTCGGTCTTCAGTGTGCAGACACCCTCTGCACACTTCCTCATACAACTCTGGCTGACCGTCGTAAGCCAATCTTGTAATTTCTTATAATTTGTACATCCTGTGTTATATCTGTTTCTCCAGTAAAACCCTGACTGATACAGCCAGAGAACTGTATGAACACGAAAGCAGAGATCAGAGTGGTGCCTCACAAGCCAAGGGATACCAAAGGTTGCCGGCAACCACCAGAAGCCAGGAGACAGGCCTGGCCCAGATTCCCTCGCACCCCTCAGAAGCGGTCAGCAGAAGCAAGCAGACACCTTGATCTCAGACTTTTAGCCTCCAGGACCATGAGGACTGTAAATGTCTGCTGTTGAACCCACCCAGTCTACGGCACTCTTTTACCACGACAGCTATAAAAACCAGTCCTTGTTTTTCATAGTAAGGGGACTTGGCAACTCTGTGATTTCTGTGTTCTGGTCAGATGTAAAGCTGCCGTAATTCTTCAGTAAGTGCCAGACATGGTTGTCCCAGGCTCTGCGGGTAGCTGCCACCCCAGCCCTGTACTCACTGTCATAGGTCACACTGTTGTAGATCCGAATAGACCGCATCTTGGACATCTTGACTAGGGACAGACGGGTCGACTCAAAGCTTGACCCTGGCTGAAGGAGAGTCTCACCTGGAGAGTGACACAGTGCATGAGTGGGGGGCTTCCCCATGGCCCACAGCCCACCTCACTGCTGGGCAGCTGAAAATCTCTGGCGTTTGCTGAGGACTCAGATATTGCTGAGGACTCAGTCACACTGAAGGCCCCTTCCTCCCCACTTCGCTGGCTCCCACTGACCCTCCCAGGTGTGGCTCCAGCTGCCCCAAGCTTTCTGTGCTTAGAATAAGTGTGTCAACTTTGGTCTGCCTCAGGGCCTTTGCATTTGCAGCCTCCTCAAAAAATGTTCTCCTGCATCTAGCTGGGACTGGGTGGCTTCTGTCAACCCTCAGCCCCAATCCCACCGTTCAGAAAGACCTTCCATAGCCCCCATCCAAAGTGCCTTCTTTCTTCCCACTCCCATATACCCTCACATTGCAGAGGATTTTCTCGTCTGCAATTACCGCTGCACAACGATCACTTTTTGCAAAATCAATTTATTGTCTATTTGCCCCGACAGTGCGAGCTGCATCAGATCAGGGGTCTCTTCTCATCAAAGCTCCTGACATGTCTTTGGCACTCTGTTGACTTATCGTTTTGCTTTGTGTAGGAGGAGGCAGGAATTCAGGGAGGTGTCCAAGGTCAGGCAGCCAGGAAGGGCTGGACCCCGGATTCTAGTCCGGAGTTGTGGTGACTTCAAGGCTTGCACCATTTCTGCTACATTCTTACAACAGTGCCTTGTGGAAAGGAGCCCCACGCAGCCCAGAGAATCTCGGGCTAGCAGGGCTAAGCCTCCTAAAACCCTAGCTCCGCCGGGCCCTTGGGCTACACGAGTCTGCTGGGACAGAAGGACCAAGGATGGACAGATGCATAGGCATGTGAGAAAGCAAGTACAATGGAAGAAGGGCGCGGAGCTTTCTTCGGGGACCTTATGAGGAGCGCTTAGAAGGCTCCGCCTCGGACCCTACACATCCAGGGTCACCCCAGTCTTGCATCCCCGCCCGCCAGACCCGCGCACCCGCTCAGCCTAGCCCAGCGCTTACGCACCAACCGCGCGCCCCGGTTCGCTCCGAAGCCTTAGCGCCACAGTTCTCCAGTGTGAGCTTCTGGGCCCTGCGTTTACGTCGCCAAGGCAACCATTCTCCCGGCCAGCTGTGACGTCACAAAGGCCCCGGGGGCGGGAGGCGGGGTCGCTGGCGGCTGGGAGAGGAGGACCGCGGTTAGGCTGCCGCGGCTCGGGGCGGCTGGTCCAGGCTGGGGAAGCGGCGGCCCGGGAAGTTACCTTCCTCATCTTTCCTTATTCCGTGCTCCCGTTAGCTTTTTCTTACTGTCAGATAGTTTATTCACGGTGTGCCACGCGCTGAGCAGGGCGCCCAGGATGAGTGAAACAAAAATAGACGTGGTCCTTTCCTGCACGTTCTAGAGGGCCAGTTCTGAAAGTGCGATCTGGGACCGCAGCCTCAGAAATGCTGAGAGCGCGCTAAAAAGCGGGTTTCCCAGTTCTGGAGGTGGGATCCAGCAGTATGTGTGGGTTACAACAAGTTCTTCCTGGCCCTCCACACATAGTAAACACGAACAGTGAGAAGTTTTTCTGTGAACCTAGGTGGGGCAAAATGCAGCGATCAAGACCAGAGGTTAATTCTGGATGGTCCAGAGTCACCAGTGAACGCAGCCAGGGGCCCCGGCCGTGCAGTCCTGGGCTCAGCAGGAGACAGACCGCTCCTAGGTCTCTGATCAGGACCACCGGATTTCCCTAGGCATCATGGGGACCTTGAGATGAGCAAAGGGTGCTGGGAGCTGGGGGCACAACCGAGGCCTTGTCTTTCCCAGGACATTTAAGGGCCTTGGGGAACAATGTGCCAGGCAGGAATGTGGTCCCAGCGAGAATCCAGGCAGCCTCTGGCTCTGCGCAAAGCAGCTGTAGTGGATGGGGAGACCCCGTCGGGAATGCAGAGTGGAAAGCACAGGGACTCCCGAATCTCCCCCGAGGACAGTGTCCCACTGGCGCATCATCCACGGTGGGCTTTGTGCGAGGCAGGAAGGAAGTGCTACTGTGTTCCATCGATGTGTGATTTGTAGGTGTGCGCATTTGTTCACATTAAGTACCCTGAGATGAGTACTCCTCTTTCCCCTTAGAGTAGAGGCTCCTTACCCTACCATCCAAAGTCCTCAGCAGTCTGGCCTCAGCCGGTCTCTGCAACCTCATCTCCCTACAAACTGTCAAACATTAGCAGGACAAAACGCGAGATGCATTTGATGAACTCAGGAAGGATGAGTTTTATCTTTAAACACCAGGACTTCCAATGAGGCTTTTAGGAACCTTGAAAATAAGCAACCCCGAGAGAAGAAAACTGATGAGAGTGCTGTCAATTCACTGTTATCAACAGGGAAATCCCTGAGTCTCCCCAGGAACCCTTACAAGGAGTCTTCTATACGCCAGGGGCTGTTCTAATTACAACCTGCATGTTTAACATTCATGGCCACGCTGAGGAGTAGGTTGGGTTACTGCCCCTGCCTTCCACACACAGCCAGTGAGGCCAAAGCTGGGGTTTACGGTTAGGCAACGGAACCCAAATCTTTGCTCTTAACATGCCCTGCCTCTCAGCAGAAATAGCCTTATCATCTTCTGCAATGATGGAAAAAGTGCAAGGACCTTTCAAAGGGGACCTTGCAAGGAATGCTCAGAGGCTCTGCCCTGGACCCTAGGGACCTTGGGCTCCTTGGAAAAGCTTCACTTGGTCATGTGTATGCTCTTGTCTGTTTGGGCTCTTAGCTCTTTAGAAGGCTAGAAACCACCTAGAACCATCTAGAAAATATAGTCTGGTTTGGAAATTTTAATCTTGGCCTGTCATTCGTCAATTAAAAGCTTATTTGAAAATGAGATGGATTGATGGAGTAACGGGAGGATCGAGAGATGTGTGACATACAAGGACAGTAATAGTTAATTGCGGGGCCTAAATGTGGCTGTCCACATTTCTGTACGCTTGAAGTTTGAAAATTTTCACAATCTGACTTTGGGAAAAGATAGTCATCTTCCTAAAGAGATAATTTGTATTTGTGATTCCACATTTTCTTTCTTGAACAAAGTGGTCAGTCCCAGATCTTGGGAACAAACAACAGCAATCAACTCTAGCCAATTAAAGAGGGAGAGGACGTGCAGGCACTCCTGACATCTGCGGGAGGACAGGGGGCCAGGCCAGGAGACCTTGTAGCCGGGAGCAGAACCAGAAGCTGGCTGTAGGTGTGTCCTAGAGGAGAGACAAGAGCTGTGATCCGGTGACCGCCTGTGTCTTCTGGCTGGCGGCTCCTCGGTCACCTCTATGCATCTCCTCTTTCTTCAAACCAAGTCTCTGGCTTCTACAGTGGGAGGTGCGGCTTCTGGGCGGGAACACCCACAACCAGGCAGGGTTGTCAGAGAGACAGAAGGTCAGACGCCCACGAGACAACACCTGCGTCGCTTCTCCATGGCCCATGGCCTTGTAGGACACAGAGGTCCTCCATTCCTTGCCTTGGTATCTTTCCCTCTCGCTGGGGTGGGGTGGGGTAGGGTCGAATAATCCTTGCTCGGCTCCTCCTGGAGGGGCAGTGTAAGGCTCGTTTCTAGGAGCAAGCTCTTTTGCGTTTGCTCACATTCAGACCGTTCCAGTGGCTGATCTTGCTCAGGTGATCACCACCTGCCTGCCTCCCCAGACACCCACAGACATTCCCCTTTCCCCAGCCTCCCTGTCCTCTGCTGCCGGGGTAGGTCCAGCAAGTGAAAGAGGAGGAGCAGGACTGTCCCCTCACTCCACCTCCCATGGCCTCTCTATTTGCGACCGAGACCTCTGCAGCCGCTTTCTCCTTGGGCTTGCAGTCCTCTTGTTCATCTCTGATGCCCTCACTGTTCCCTTTTTGACATTCACTTCCATCCATAAATGTGCAGACATGAAGCTGCTTGCCCAAGGCCACACGCCCCTAGTGGCAGAACTGACTCAAATTCAGGCAGTGTGACTCTACTGCCCAGCCTATGAGCCACCACCCCACTGGCTGGGAGAAGCAGTGCTCAGCCAACTGGGGAGGAGGCGGTCCTGGGACTAGATGTAGGCTGCACTGCTCGCCAGCCCCACCTGTGGTTGTCAGCTGGGGCAGGAAGGAGAATGCTGATCTCTGGGCCCACTGACTCAAGCTGAACCCAGGCATGGAGCAGCTCACAGCAGTAAACAAATCCAGACAGCATGCAACCCATCCACTAATACCTCCTAGACGTCTGGAGGCTTCACGTGGAATGGAATGGAATGGATGGAATGAAATGACGTAGAATGGAATGGAATGAAACGGAACGGAACGGAACGGAACGGAACGGAACAGAACAGAATGGAACGGAATGGAACGGAATGGACTTGGATCAGGCAGAAACTTGGAGAATTCTGGTGACTTTCTAAATTCAGGATCAGATAGTCACCTTCAGGATAAATGCCTTAAGCGCTGAGACTGCTTGTGTGTGGATTTTCCTTTTTGATACTGAGAATCAAACTCAGGACTTTGCGCTGCCAGGCAGGCATTGTGCCACTGAGCTATCTCCCCGGCTGGATTTTTCTTTGGCTCAGAGGTTGTAGCTCTGGAGAATGACCGAGCCATATATCCATCCGTCATGGTGAGTCAGGGCTTCCTGTGGGAAGTGTGTGCTTGACTTTCTACAATTTGCACTCTGCTGGACTTCTGTCCGTCACATTTCAGAGGAAAGCTGCAGAAATCCTACTAGAGCTGTGACGGCGAACGTATGGCATCTGTGCCGCAGCAGATATGCAGAGACCTCTCTGTGGACACCCAAGCCAAGTTGCTCCAGCATCAATGACAGTCATTTTTTCTAAACTAAAATCTCAGCGTTCAGGTTTAATTGTAATGTTGGCACTTTGCAATAAATATGGTAAGTGGTTTTGGGTTGCAGTTTGGACACTCAACCTCTAAAAGGTTCACTGTCACTGTCGAGAGCATAACCCCTACCTCTCTCTTTCTCTGTGGGCACATATCCCAGCTCCAGTCCTCAGTGGAGTCCTTGATGGCCCCGGTGGTACTCTAGCCTGGCATGCTTTCCATTGGGTGAGCAATCACGTTAGACAGATTGCCCTCCTGCCCGTTCAGGTGGACTGATTATTTGAGTGGAGTCTGGTGAATAACTAGCGCTCAGTTTTGGCCTCCATATCTCAGGCTTACACATTTGACTACAGCACAAATAACAACAGAAAAACAAGCTGTTCCAGTGGAAGCCCATAGTGGGAACCAGGCCAAAAGATGAACAGGATCCAAGTGAGGAGATGGAACTGTGTAAGTCAAGGAAAGCAAGAGCAGGGGAGAGTGTGACTCAGTCCAGAGAACACAAATGACCTTGCAGGGTTCACTGTGGGGGGCAGGGTGACAAAGGCAGTGGTGATGGAGGGACACGAGGAACAAGGAGACAGCTGGCCACCAGGTCGCAGAGCGCTAGAACGTCATTCCAGGGAGAGTGAGCTTTTTCACACTGCCCGTGGGACCCAGGGAGAGCAAGGTCACGGCCAGGTTTGCTGTATCATTTGAGCTTCATAGAGAGAGTGGGTTGGAGGACAGGGCAAGCCAGAGGCAGGGGACAGTGCTGGAAAGTAGAGGGTGCTTGCAGGCAAGAAACAATGATGACTTAGATGAAGGAGGAGGCAGTCAGGGCGGAGGGATTTGAGAGAAAGGCTGGAAAAATGGGCTAGAGGTTAGGGATGTACTTGGACTGGGGTAGATTGAGATTTGCTGGGATGGGGAACTGATAGGAGGAAGTATGTGCTTGGTTCGCTGTCTCTGGCTCTCTGTCTCTGTCTCTGTCTCTGTCTCTCTCTCTCTCTCTCTCTCTCTCACTCTCGGAAAGATCTGCCTGCAGAGTGTCACAGGCTGACTGGCTCCAGCGACTGTACTCTGCGAGGGAGCACAGCTTCACGTGGAGGTTGCTCCCAGCCATGACTGAGCCCTGTGAGCGTGTATTTGCTGTATTCCACTCACTAATGAATATGGGCCCTTTTTCTTCAGGGTGATGAATATACTGGGATGTTAGGTCATGACGATGGCTGTACAATTCTGCATACAGTACATACATCTTAAGTGGATGCGTTTTTGGTGTGTGAACTCCGTTTCAATAAGTTAGAAAGGAGAATTCACATCCACAAATGCTCAAACAGAGGCCAAGGGAGCAAGATCAAGACATGCTCACTGGATTTGCCAGTGAGTGGGTGGACCTTGGTGGAAGCAATTTTGGAACCTCCTGGGGATGATGTGGGTGGTGAGGAAGAGAAGACAGTACACATAGACAGTTTTCGAGCGTCTTGGCCCTGACTTTATCTTGGCCCCGACTTCATCTTGGCCCCTTACGGGTGGAGCTGACCGGAAGT